AAAGTTTTTATCACCGTGATTTAAGAGGAGTATTATTCGAAATTGAGTGCAAAGTTTCGAGACCCGATGAAGCAAGGCTAAAACAAGTTTTTAGTCCATACACCTTCGTCCATGAATGTTCAGTAGCATTGAATTTGGTCTATGTAGTTTGCAAAATTTTCCTCGAACTCATGTTTATTTCAATAAAACTACAAAGACGAAATGCAACGGGAAAAAATTATATTGAAGGAAAGTGAAAATCTGATAAATTGCGGGGACGGGTGTTGCAATTTAGCCAAAGAGGAAATACTTCCCGAAAGTGCAACATTTGTTTAGGCATATGTTCTTAAATGACACAGCAAGGAGGTGGCTAGACACGATTATTTGGTGTTGTTAACCATGTCCCCGGTCAGCTATATACACACACAGAGATTTTCACATTTCACCAATTTATCACATGGCAATAGTTGCATTTTTTAATTCCGTATTAAGTATTTGGTGGACAGTGACGTTAAATTTAGGTTGCATGAAAGACTAGAAGACAAAACATAATCATGATATATTCGTACTAACATAAGAGTTTTAAATCCATAGATTTCAAGAGATGAACTTCGGTCTAACTGTTTGACTAAAGCAACACTCACATTGGGTTGACTAACTTAAATCGACTCAATCAGAATTAAAAGAGCCTCGTACATTTATGAGAAGTGCCCTAAATCACAATCATCACTGTCATTTCCTTGATTTCAATCAAGGAACAATAATTGTATATAAAAATACAGAAATAAGGAATTACACAAATCACATTCAAATCAAGGCTCAAGAACTCCTTTCCAACCAAACATCCCATAAGACAGCCAAAACCCTACATCTCCAAAGGATATCTTCTTCTGAAAAATTTACAAGGACAGAAGACAGAACGCAAAACACAGAACAGCATGCCGTCTCCGAGCCACGAGGATTCGATTCGTGACCTGCACAATTTGAAAGGCAGCATACATTGTACTTTTATTAACAGAGGAATAGATGTACAAGACCGGAGAGTTTACCCCTTCCAAGTTCCAACCCAAATCATCAGATAAGAAAGGCTACAACTACAGTATCTTCATCCAAATTTGCTGCTAGAAAACAGACCTTCACGCGTCCGATCATATGTTCCATAAAGCTCCAGACCAAAACTTTCTCGGATACTAGTTTGGCACCCCATATCAGAACCAGATACCACGCCCAGATTAATGAATTTAGTGTTAAATGCATCTGCAATACTGCAAAGACGAGTTGCAAAGCCATAGAAAAGTGAGAGTCGTTCACTTAATCCTCAGTTCTCACCTCTTCAAGTTCATCGTCTACCTCTTTTGGCTTAATATAACCGTACTTTCTGAGAATCCATAGATTCATACGAATAACATTGCCAAAGAACACAACCACCATTAAAGTCAACCATGTCAAAACTGATATCTCGGTTACCTTACGTAACATGATTTGCACATTTTCGTCATTAGGTGACATATGACGGAGAGTGATGAAATAAGTTATTACTAGTGTTGTGACGGCAACCCACATTATGACCATTTGTATCCACATCCATCTCCTCCGTTTGATAGGTAGCCCGCTAACGAGCAGAAGAATTATGCTTAGGGATGTGAGGAAAGAGATTGTGTTAAAAATCATGAATAGACCATACTCTTTTCCCTGCTTAGTTGCCATGACAGATGTTCCTACGGTGTGAGGACTCGCCACAGGGTTGCCATTTTCGTCGACTTGCAGGTCATCCTGCCAAAAACCTCCCGGCGGGGTTATTGCAGCTTGGAAGGCAACAGTTGCAAGGAGAGATGCCACCACCATCAATGAACTTCTCTTCCTACCAAGCCAATCAGTAGGTTTCTTGTTCCCCGCCGGTTTCATAGAAACACTCACTCTCGAGGACAATGCTGAGCCTCGATGTCTTGAAATCTGACGCTCTTTAGTTGGAGCACGAACCCAGTCCTGCGCAATGTTACGTACATCCTTTGCACTCTGAGCCCCAGCACCTCGAAGAGAATCCTCAATCTCCATATCCCTCAAATCTCTAGGACTCTGCATCAGAATGTCTAAGGCGGTAGCGCTGTTTGCATTCAACGCATTCACGTTCACGCCGGTTTTAAACAGCAAGAATTTGGAAATCTGCACAAATTCAAAACACCCTTTTGTAAAGAAAATGCAACTAACACGAATTCAGTCCCTTTTAAGAGATGCTCATCAGTAGGAAAAGATATAAATCCATTTATAATAAGCCAATTTCTACACTTTATTAGTATCAGTAGTTTCTAAATGCTACATATTAATGTTTCGGATACGAGTTCTAGTTGAACATTGAAACGCCTTTCCGCCTTGGTATGATTGGAATGGATAAGTTTCCGTTACGACTAATCCATGTTCTGCCTTCAACTCAGACAAGATTTGGAATTCGACTTCCATTTCTTGCATCAAACATACATTAATCCTAGTGAATTATCCAATTCAGACACCAAATGAGACTTAAAGTACCTTCTTTTGCCCCCTAATCCATAACCATTGAGCTAGCTAATATCAGTGGCGCTCAAGCGTTAATCAGTTAGTAAGTTAATACGATTCAAATTGCGTACCTCGGTTTGCTTCTTGGCCACGGCAATATGCAAAACAGTGTTACCATCACAATCCTTCCAATTCACAAAATCATCATCACTCCCGGCTGCCTCGACCAAAACCTTCAACCCCTCCAACCGGTTACACCCAACGCACAAGTGCAGCGCCGTCTCGCCTCGGTCGGTCAACGCCCGAGTCGACTCATTCCCAACTCGGACCAACTCTCTCATTACTTTAACCCGCCCCTTGGCGGCCGCTACGTGGAGCGCCGTCCTCCCGTCTCCGTTCCTCACCGCACACGCCCCCGGATCGGCCAGAACCAGCTCCTTCACAATCTCCGCGTGCCCCTTCGACGCTGCCACGTGGAGAGGCGTTGACCCATGCGAGTCCAGCTCGGAGGCCAGCTCGGGGTTGCGGCTCAGTAACTCGGTAACAAAACCCAGGTGACCCAGCATTGAAGCTACGTGAAGCGGCGTCTCGGAGACGCAGGAGACTAAAGCTCTGTCGAGAACAAGTGGGTCTTCTGCGATCAGATCTTTAAGCGCCGCAGTGTCTCCCGCCATGGCTGCATCCAGAAGCTTCTTGTCCATCTTCTCCGCTCGTTTCTCTCTTCTGGGTGAGCTGAAAAGTTGTCAAGCTTCAAGCTTTTGCAGCCATGGAGTCGTATAATATATATTTAGATCTCAATGGATGTGGTAGTGCGAAAGCCACTGCTGAATAAATTAAAAAAAAATGAAAACCCAGAAACAAAAAATAATATTTTTTGCCTGCAGAAATTGACCAAAAGATCTAAAGTTGAAATTTTTATTTGTATTGGTCAGATTAAATATGAAATTTGAAATTTGACATTTGACATTTGATTGGTGTTTTAAAGAGAGAGAGGATGCCTTGCTTAGGTCAAACGTTATCAGGTGGAGCAGGAGGGCATTTGGGACCCTTGGAATGGAAGCTTCAACTTTTGGTGTTTGCCCTCTATTGTGAGCTTTTCTTGTTTTCGTCTATCTTAGACTCAAGCTTTTTTGCCCTTAATTTCCAGTCAATCAATCTTTGATTAAGAATTCATTTATTTCTGTACGCTATGATTCAACTCCAACTAATTCTATGATGGTGAGTGGGTCAAGTAGATTAGACTGGTCAATAGAATTATTTGTGTTTGATTCTTTTTTAAGTTTCTACACACTGTTGACGTTAAACGTTATTTATAAGAGATAATGCTAGTTGTTTGTGTAATTCGTCTTTTCACTCACTCATTTTTATCTTCTGCACACTCCTTTCAATTTTCAGCCGTCATATCGAATGAATTGAAGAATATTAAAACATGAAAATTAAAAAGAGCACGAGAAGCATTACATATGAAGGAAAAAGATTTGTGATCGCGACCGTTCATTGTACATCGTGCGGTCAGTTCTTGTTAGGTACTATTTATATTTAATTTTAAATTTTAAATTTTAAAATGATTTCTGACCGCACGATATAGGATGAGCGGTCACAATCACAGATCCCTAGGAGAAGGATCGGGCGAGGATCCTTTTTCCACTTATGAAGACCAAGTGTAGTCAAATGGGCGAGTTCATGATCTAACCCCTAGTGCAAGCAACTGTTACAAGGTCAAAATTGAATCAATAAAAGTATATGAATTCAAGAAAACCAAAATTTAATCAATTAAAAATAATTGAAACGTAATATTCCCCTAATTGAAGACGAATAAATTCTCTTTAGCACATCGTGAAAAGTGTGCTGATAACGTGTTGTGGCCTATATTTAACTGACATGGGAAGGAGAGCCGGCGACAAAGGGAGACGAGAGTGGAGAATAGATCAAAATCCTCTGTACTTGAGGTAGTATGTTTTCAGGCAAAAGACGATCGTAATCGGAAGCACTAATTAAATCTTGTTTCTAGTTGGTTAAATAAGACATATAAGAGAAATTCATTTTACCCCTTTAGAGCTTGACTTAGGCCTATGGATGCTATTATTTGAAACTGATGACTTCTCCTTTGACTGTCTCTTTGCGATGACTGCCATAACCTCGAAGATAGATGGCAGATCATTCATCATATTGAAGAGACGTTCCCTGCACCAAAATTTGCAATGAACCTAGTTAGGCTATGCACACTAAATTCTGATAACTGCAGGGTTCCCTTAGTGAAAGTCCCTTTGATCCAAAATCCATTCAGATGCACATGTTGCGTTTTAAACAACAGCTCTGACCCGATTGATCTGGCTATCTAAATCGGCGTTAAATCCTACCCCCACCCTCAAAATGAATCCGCGCCATCTCTAGGCATCCTAGCACACGTCAACAATCAATTTGTGCATTGTTCGCATTTTCTACTGAGAGAATACCCAACCAGAAAGTTCATTAATATTACCCTGCATGACAGGTACAACAAAGGCAAATATATACGATTCTTGATTTAAAATTCAATTTGGTGCGTTGATATTGTTTTACAATTTCATTGAAGTTTAAATCCCCATTTCTATAAGTTCTAAATCCCACATGCTGAATTTGAACCCTCTTCAGAACTTACAACAACTTCATTTCTTGAGATTTGACAACACTAACAATAGGCAAAAGATCAGCGACAACAAGAGCAACTTCAAAACAACCTTATTTTTCATGCATATAGAAATAAAAGCATCAGACACACTCAAGAAGGGAGATCTGCATACCTTTCAGTATTGTCAAAACCGAATCTGGCACCAAAGTATAAGGCCACCGAAAGCAACCATGCATCACTGTGCACAGCTACCAGAGACAACCAGTCTCTTTCTTGCATTCCATCTCTGGCAAAGTTGATGCCCAAAGCAGGTTCCGGGAGCTCTGGAGGAACTTCTTCAGCAGGTAGATTAACCTCCCATTCTTCATTCGGGAATCCATACAAACAAAGATTCACCATGTCTGAAACATTGACCAATCAATTACCAATTAGTTAAACACAATAATAAGCATCCATCATAAGGACCACAGAGAGTGTTAAGAACTTGCACGGAAACGTTTACAATATAGAAACACCAAATTAGAAAATAATGCAATGCGAAAGCATAAGAGCAACTGCCAACGGAAACATTCAACGATGTTCCAGTTCCGATGACAAAAACCAGAAAAAAAATGTAGTGAATGCTCTTTCTAGCAGTTATATCTTCACTACATGCAGGATTCAATCAAATGCAACCAATTTTCTAACTAGATCCAAGTTAAATGACCCCAGAAGGTAGGTTTTTGAAACGCGATTACGAAATTAGTACTCTCACCCAAATAAGGAAACCACAGAAACCTATGTCTTTCATCTCAACACAACCAAATCGTAAGCATCACGTAAAAATGATGGACGAAAAACGAAACAAAAAAGCAAAGAGAACAAAGCTAATGGGGCAACCTAAGCATTTTTTTTAGTACATTGATATTTTTACACTAGGGGGAGAGGGAGTTCGGCTAAGCCACATAATGAGAAACCTAATTTGGTATCGAATTTGCCATCCACGAGATTCGAACCTAAGACCTCCTACTTCCAAGTGAAAAGGATACCACCAAATCGTAGTACTGAGTGGCAGCAACCTAAGCATTTAAAAAAGGGAGTTTGATACCAATTTATTGCCACATTCTTTAGTGTAAATATGTTGTTCTATCAAAAACAAAAGGGAGGACCAGAAATAAAAGATTCAAGTTCTAAAACTAGAAAGAAAAAAAGAAGAAGTTAGAAAGCAATAATTTTATGTAGTATTAATTTATAGTGAACAAATTTAATAAAATTGAAGGGCCATGGACACAAAGGTAAAACAGTAATTAAACAAAAAAAATTGACCAAAAAAAAAAAGACAACAGAGAGAGCCCTCTCACCAGGATCGCATTGCTGGTAAAAATCCTCAACATCTGCACAAAATAAACAAATAAATAAATACAAGAAGAAACAAAGTTAGTAAAATGAGGAAAATATTTGGGAAATTTGGAAAAATAACCAAATTTTAGACCCTGTATAGAATTATAATCATTATTTTAATTGGGAATTGTTATTGGCACTCCAAAAATCTCATTCTACAATCCAAACTTTCCATATTTGAAAAGAAAATTACACTTGTGAAAGTGTAGAATGAGATTTTTGGAGTGCCAATAACACTTCCCTTTTAATTTTAAGATAATTATAACCAAAACTTGATGTAAAATTATTAATATACCCTTAATACTAGGGTTTCTCATAACAACCACAACACAACCTTTAAACTACCTTAAAATGTTGAGGATTACTGCAGGTTGAGGCCACTGAATTATAGAGGTGCAGACATATTGGCTTTCTCTTTAATTAGCAGGACAAGCTATGAGAATGTTCTTTAGAAGGTACTAATTCCATGGCTAATTATTATTTTTTAATTAGATACTTAGATTTGGTGCTTCACTAACTAAATTGCATATATTCCGATATATTTTTTGCAGTGGATGAAGAAAGAATACGAAATTGCATTTACAAAGTGAATAGTGAAAACAAAAAAGTATTGAATATTAATTTCTCATTTTAAGATGGGAACTATTATTAGCACTCCAAAAATTTCATTTTACACTCCTTACAAATGTATTTTTCTTTCTAATTATAGAAAGTTTGGAGTGCGAAATGAGATTTTTTGAGTACTAATAACAATTCCCTTTAAGATAGTTTAAAAGTTTGTTTTGGTTGTTGTGAGAAACTCTAATATTAAGGGTATATTAGTACTTTTACATCAAGTTTTGGTTATAATTATCATCAAATTAAAATGGTGGCTATAATTCCATATCAGGTCTAAAATTTGGTTATTTTTTCAAATTTCCCAAAACATTTAGGGGTGTAGTCAATTTAGGATTTGATAGGATTTTAATAAACTTTAAAATTCAGGTGTAGTCAATTAAATTTTAAAAGAGGATTTTAAAATACTTTGAAATCATAGTGTAGTTAATTTAAGATTTAAGAAGATTCTGAAGAATACATTCAAATCCAGCGGTAGTCAATTAAGATTTTAAAAAGTCCATTCAAATATGTAGGTATTCAAAATGTCATGGATTTTGAGAGATTTCTTTTAGTAAAGGATTTTGTAGGATTTGGGAGTGAATTTTATGCATAACAAAGGTTACAAAGAATCTCATCTCCCCCCTAGGATTTCTTTTCAAACTTCAATTTGATTTTTCTCTCCTAAGCCGATATAAGCACCAAACTGAACTCTGAGACCTTTCTTCTTCATTGTGTTCTTGGTGTAGACATCGAAATTTCGATGAAATAAATGTTTACAAACGCATTAAAGTTTCAACGTGCCAGGGTATACGTGACATGCGCCACGTGTCTCATAAATTGTACACATGACGTGTGACTCAACAAAATCGGACGAGTCATCAAGAACGACATGTGTCAACACTTGGCAGAAATGAATTATTTGATTTTAATTTAATTAAATCAAATGTTAATTGATGAAGTCAAATCACGAACCGGCCCACTAATCGAGTCATGGTTCTTTTGTCAATTAATCAAGCCCACAATCAAGGCCAAATCCATCCGTAGTCAAAGCTTGGAGAGTCTATAAATAGGAGGCTCCAAGACAAAGAAAGAGGTCCATAAATCATTTCACACCTAGACGCTGAAGTTTTGAAATTCTGAAACTCTCAAGCACTCAAACCCCTAAAACACTCAAACACTCAGGAAGGCTCAAAAAACCCTTCTTGTTCTTCGTCAAATCCCATGAAGAACCACCAACACCCTTATAAGTGTTGGTTCCTCCATTACCAAGAGCCAAAACCTTGCGGCATTCGTTCATACAAGATCAAGTCATCACGACCCTTGGATCAACAACACTACACATCTACACAGTTCGGAGATCAAATCAGAAGATCAAGTTGTAAAGAGATTGTAACCCTAAATTTACATTAATACAAATTTATTTTGTATAGGTGTTCTTGTATCATTTGTTACAAGAAATTCGTGTTTACACTTGGGTCCCACTCTTTCTTGGTATGCATCTGTTAAGTGATCAATTTCCCTTTTTTTTTAATAGATGATTTTTCTGAAGATTATGGTTTGTGGGATTTTCTCCTTTGATTTCAAAATCTGTTTGTGAATAGCATGAGGTTTTTTGTTGCGTAAAAAGTATGAAGGTTTTGTTGTTGATTTTGTTGGGTTTATCGCTGGTGTTGTGCTTCTGATATTGAATGTGCTTTCACTGGTAATTTCCCATTTCTCTCTCTGTCTAGTTGTATCGATTCATTCTTGTGGGGTTTTCGAAATCAAGATTTGCATGTGAATGAGAGATGTAACTGAGAGGCATTTCTTTGTGTGAAAGCTCTATATAATTGCCCATAAAACATTTGACAAAAATAGCATAAGAGGGAGGGGACTGGATGAAAAATGGTTGCTGTGACAGTTTGATTAGATTTATGACTTAGGTTTTGACCAAAAAAAAAATTATGACCTAGGCACATTTATTACTATTTAATCTATTTGACGGTCAAGATTAAGCATTGTATAAGTCCATCAAAATTCATAGAAATATGTTATACGAATCCTCTTAAATCTTCCAAGAAGTCTACATAATCCTATGAAATATTAATCAATTAGAATTGCCCAAAAGGTCCAATAAACATACATTATTGGATCTTTTGAATAACACTCAAGAAGATTTTATGAAAATTTTAAAAAAAAATCTATTAAAATCTTCTGAAATTCAAATTGACTACCCGCCCTAACAAAACGTCAAAATATTAACTGACAAAAGTTAAAAATTAACATAAAATAAAATAAATATTAACAAGTAAATTAAGAAAAGAGAGAGAGACCAGTGGTGAGAGCTTTGATCAAGGCAGCACGACGGCCCTTGAAGTCGGTGAAAACCTCCTCCACAGTGCGCGGGCTGTACGCTGCTGTTTCTCCTCCTACTACTTCCATCACCATGTCCGTACACTCTCTTCCCTCCCTCTCTCCCTCCCTCCTCCTCAGAGCTTACTTGAGTTTAGAAAATATAAGAAAGCCGGAAGGAAGGTGGGGGTAGAATGGTAAATGGGTTGAGTTGCCACATCGTAATTACTGATTTATTTAATCATTTTATTTATGGAGAAGCGACGGCGCAGAAAGACACACCAAAACCCAATTAAATAAAATAAATAAAAATACAAAAAGAAATTTCTTTAAATTTGAGGCGTGGCTAATTAGCCAGGAGTTTTTACGCTAAAAACTGTGGTCCACATAGGATAAATTTGCTATGTTTTTTTGTTGTTGTTTAACAAAATATTAAGACCAAGCGATTTGGGGAGGAATAATCAAACATAGGACATAGGATGAGGCGTCAAAAAAACCAAAAAAAAAACTAATTTATTTAGACGTCTGACCCCAAATTTCATTAACGCGGAGTTTAAAATTCATTTTGCTTCATTTGTCCCGGCAACTACAGTGGAAAATTCCAGTTTCCGGCAACGAAGCCGATTTTAGAATCTTCGTTGATCACGTTACCAAGAAGCAAACATACGGTTCACATAATCTGAATCGCATTGTAACCGGAAAAACAAAAAACTCAATAGCGTTGCTCGGTTGAGACTCAAAAGTAAATCAATAAAAGGTAATTAAACAGTCGACTCCGAATGACTTGGATTTAAACCTAACAATTTTCAAAGCAACATTTGTCCCAACGCACCACAAAAGGGATACAATACAAACGGTCTGATGCACCAACTCAACATATATATTTGCATATATAGTGACTTCTTATTTCATACAATGGGTCAGTAAGAACAGATTAGGCATCGAGCGTGTATGTCAGAAGTCATATAGTAGATCCATGGCATTCACATTTTCTCCCAATTGTCTCAAGTTTGTAAACCAACAAAAAATATTCAACAGGGAAGACCTGAATAGGTGCAGCGGTCCTTGCAGAGCGGCTCCTCAAAGAGAGCTTTCAATTGCTGCAGCTTCAGAAAAAAGGTACAGATTGTGTTGAGTGAGGAGCCAATCAGATTGCTTGAACAAGTCTAAAATCCATCCAATCACTTTGCCCCCACATCTGAGAGTGGAGAAAGAGAAAGTAAATCATTTTGCACAAAAGAATGCTCCAAGAAGTAAATCATTCTGCCCCAAAATCTAGGATAACTAATTTTATCAAAAGCAAAGCTCAAAGATTGACAAATATAAATCATGTAATTTGAAAACCAGTACAAGGAACTTACATCCCAAGTTCATACAACATGAAGTTTCACCCCCGCCCCAGTGGTACTTGACGTGCAGTCAAATAATTAAGTATTTTAGAACTCAACCAGGCTGTAGCGCCAGCATCCATTCCCAAGTTAATCCTTAAATTACACAGTTCAGTATGTGTAAAATGATCCAACATGAATTTTCCCTCTCTGTTCATAATTCTTATACATTCATTATCTTATGGAGTGTTATTTTCCTTCATTCAACTTTTGTGCGTGCTCTGTGTAAAGATTTTGGAAGACTTCAGTAACCAAAACTTACCTCTATCAGTGTGAGACGATTCATCATCATTTTTTGCTGGAACATGTTGTTGAAGAAACTCCTGGACCGTTCTCCAATAATTATCACCACCAGTGAGCCAAGTATCCATATGCATGCCAGTGGGAAATTCCACAAAAACACACTGCTTATTATGGGCAGCTGCTTTGGCATACAGCATTTGCATATGGGACGGAGGAATCATCTCATCTTGCAAGCCGGAGAGAAAGAGGATTGGCTGCTTAACCTGCATTTTTTATCGTCACATGTGAGGGACAGAACATTAAGGTAATGGCAGAAGAAAAGTGTCTCATCACACTTTGTTGATTTTGAGATGACCACTATTTAGAAAGGATGTTTTTTTTTTTTTACATCTTTAAGAATCATGTTTAATGTTACTAACGTTTGCTGAAATGTAGTACTGGTGCCAATTTTTACACTTGGTAGCTCACTTTTAAAGCACAATATGGTTTTGGTGAAAAAATGACTTAAAATACAGTTATTTCAACCAGATATCCTGGGTAGAATCAAACATGGACTGGTACAATCAGAACACTGGAATATGTAGAAAATTGAAAAAGGCAGACGATAAAAGTCTACCATATTGTTTCTGTTTTTCATGTCTAATTGCAGGGTGAAACAATAAATTCTACCACCAAGAAAGCTCACCTCACCAATGACATCAATTGTACTCCAAGGAGACCGTACAAGAAAATTAAGTGCTTTAGGACCTTTTGAACCACTGCCTCCAATAAACCACTTCAAGAAAGGGAGTAAAACTCCAGCCATGTCCAAAATAGATGTGAAGGTGTTTTCCACTATCAGTGCAGCAACCTGCAAGGCATAAAGAGAGAAAAATTATTTCGGCCTACCCACCCAAAAAAAAAATTTACGATTTAAGTACCGTGATGGTGGTGAAATTTCCAATACTCAAAAGGAAGTGAAAAACATTAAGTTGCAACAGATTTAATAGAGTGATACCTTATCAGGGTTGTTTTTAGTGACCACAGTTCCAACAGCACCACCAAGTGACCTTCCAAAGACAACTATTCTAGATGTGTCAATGTCAGTCCTCTGAGAAAGATGATCCAATGCAACCTAGCAGACAAAAAGAAAAAAAGAAAGAAAGAAAATCATACAAACAGTGCTAAAATATAAATACAGTAAGAATCATAATTCAACTGTAAATGAAAAGCATACCTGAGCATCTTTTATGATCCCATGCTGAGAAGGATATCCTTCACTTGCTCCATAACTGTTTATATCAATGAAGATTAGCATCTTAGTATGCATACACCAACACAAATTTTCTTTCCAACCATCATATATTACTCTTAATTAAGCTGTTGATACAATAACAAAGCAACAAGATAGAAACACAATAGGCACATACCCTCGATATGAAAGCATGAACACGTTACATTGCAATTTCTGTAACATTATCCGGACCATTTCGAGGCGATGAGCAATGTCTGCAGGTCAGTGGTCAAGGCCAATAAAGCATATAGAACCCTCAATTCCTCACTAAGTTCATGAAATTACATGTAAACCAAAATGAAAAATCATGAAAACAACGCACAACGTCATTGTTTCCAAATTATAGTAACAAAGACTGACTATTCTGAGAAAAAGGATACTTCCAGCATTTTCTTGGAAAAACAAGAGGGTTGGACCTGAAAAGCAAAGCAAAATAAGAATCTTAGAATCAAATATTGTTCCTTGTGTGCTACAAACATACCGAAAAATTCGTAAGCAGTCCAAGATAACAGCTTCATTTTTAAGTAAAGACCTAATTACTTAGAGACAGAGACGAATTTTTAAACGAAATGAATAGGGATTACTGTGGAATGCATGCATTTCTAGTAAGCTATAATCTAACTTAACAAAAACAAACACAATTAGTTAGCTGCTTTGGGTAATTCACTAAGCCCCCTAACCGAAAAAACCCTAATTGTCTCATCAAAACCAAAACCCAATTCCAATTCAGCAGAATTCAGAGCTCATCCAAATCAAACACAACATGAAATTCAAAAACGAATCGGGCAAAGAGAACCGGATCGGACCTCTGCAGTGGGGGAAGAGCTTGATGAACCAAGCGTGGAGGCGAACGCCGTCGGAGGAGTGGAGCCAGACGTCCTCGTAAGTAAGGCGTAGGCGGGCGGGGGTAATCGGGTAGGACTTGGTGAGACCCGGCAGGACGGGGACGTAGACAAGCCGCTCCTGGAGGGCGACGAGCAATGCCATGCCGGCCACCACCAGGCCGCCCACCCCGTACAGCAGCGCGTTCACGTACGACACCATGGCTGGGTGGGGGTGTGAGGAGCTTTTTGCTGGGTTTGGGTTTTCGGCTTGTTCTAATCTCCGGCTCCTTTTTAACTATCTGGAAAGTGCATAGTGGAAATTTGGGGTTGAAAATTTTGATTTTTTTTTAATATATCAATATTTTTATATTAAAATGAGCAATATAATCTGATATTGAATTCGTCATCAACGAAATTTGAACTTAAAACATCTCATTTCTAGAGAAATACTAGTCGCAGTTGAAAATTCTGAATTTTTTTTTTTAAATGAAGGAAATGAACAATGGGATTTGTTTTGGTCAATTTTATTAAGGTGAGGGTGGGGCCATGTAAATTGGTTTTGCAACTTCGTAGTTCGTATGATGAGATTTCCTATGGACTTCAAAGTCTCATTCTCAAACACTAATTTAAGGATCTTTTAACTGTCAAATTTTTTGATTAAAAATGAAAATATAGATCTGATGATTAAAAAAATTTAATAGAAAGCATCATAAAACTGATACGAGTCAAGTCAAGTTAGCTAGAACAAACAGTATATTGTTCTTTCTCTATTAAAACAAAAGTCACATGTGAGTTGAATCCAAGTTTAAATTTCATCTAATAAATCAAAGTAGTTTATAATATCCTGTTGTTTCCAACAAACAAAAAAATATTATTTTTTCAAATTATGTAGGAAAAATTTGTTTGATACCGAATACCATCATGATACATTGGCGCTATTTTGTCAAGAAGAATACTTGGCTTCATATATGCAAAGGAAAATACTTAAATTCTTAATATCAAAAATAGAACAATTCGGAACCGTTCACTCTTGCAAACAAATTAAAATTTGACATGTGTGATGGAATGAGTTAGTTTACATATGTGCCGGGTTGCAAGTTGCAGGTAAAGAGAATTGGGTGCGAGATGCAGGCAATGAGTTGTTCTAAGAACGCTTCAGCATCACGTTATCAACTTTTAACCCAGAAAACATCATCATCCAAACTTTTTGAACCCAAAAAAATGAATAAACAAATAAAACAAACTTTATATCAAACCAGCTGCAAGCATAAACCCAATATTATGCAAGGAACTTGCCACACGAATGCAAGGTCGTACATATCGGAATCGAATCAAACCAAACTGTTCTTGTGCAACATTCGCAACGTAGCTTTTAGCCGATTTGAATCAAACAGTCTCCTTTCATCAAGGTTAACAACACAGAACTAGAACAAGAGAGAATACATATGAAACCTACTAGACTACAGCATCTCTAAATGCCACCATTTCATTAGAAGCACGAAAGGTGGTTGATCTTTGGTTTTCCAATCACCAGTTGTCTGAAAGATGGTAGCAGAGTGAGAAAAGCCAAGGATGATTTGCCCAACCGCTGAGAACAAGATGATCTTGTTTGTGCTGACCTCTCACCGGACAACAGAAGCAAAGTGCTGGTTTCCAGCACGCATAAACCCGCCATGGAACTCCATTGCTCCACTCATGTGGGGAGGGATGCCTACAAACCTGCGATCTGGCTGCCGAAAGTTGTCATTTGTGTTGGAAACACTTGTCATGTCTGAGTGAATTGCAACACTAGGGAGGAATTCACTGCTTTCCGAGTGATGACTTTCTGTGTCCCCTGTATCTTTCTGAAGTACGCTGATGGAGTCAGAAACGTGGTGGGTACTACTGGAGGCGTTCTGGTCTGATTGCCGCTTTGTGCTGAGAAAACGTCCACCAGAGCCCCTTACCCTATTCAGGGCATGAAGATGGCGAGACTCGTGGAGATAAGGCTGCATTGATTTAAAAGTGTCAAGAGGGTAAGGCATGGTTTGGATGGATGAGGTTTCATTTATTACACAACCGCTGATTCTTTTCCATGGACAAGATCAGGATGAGTAACATGAGATTCTGGTCTGCAAACTAAGAACACATACTTCCATGTAGAACCAAATGTAGCAAAGGAATCAAAATGAATTTTGACTTGGTGCATACCTTTCGAGCTTTGAGAAGTTTGTTTTGAGCCTCCAACTTTGCACGGGACTGTCTCCTTCTGAGGATTCCACGGTACTGTTTTGCATTGACATAGATGGGTCCATCTTGTGCCAGATCAGGAGGCAACAGAACTCGTGTAGGTACGATCCCAAGCATATGGGACTGCATTAAGTTAATTTCCAATTATAAGCTCATAAAAGGTGGTGACAATCACAACAAACAAGAAAAACTAATAAATATAATCAGAATGATGGAGCTCAGACCAACATAAATTGGATATAAAACTTGTTTGTCCAATCAGATGAAAAATTGTAGAATATAGATTCATCTTAAACAGTTAAAAAGACAATTAGCCGCATTTCCTTAGACGCAATTTGGTGAAAGAATCTAACCAAACACCAATGGAAACAAAACTTACCATAGCCTGTGATCCATATGCAGTCATGAACCCACTGAAGTAAGGGTCAACATAAGGATATGGTATGCAGCCCTGGAAGAAAGGAGATGTTCAAATTAGCAACCATCTAACGGTTAAATTCTGGGTATAACGGCTCCACCTACCACTAAATTGCCGTAACCAACTTGAGAAGGGTTCGACATTAAATCTTGATTACTCGGCAAGAAAACTGGCTTCAGTTTCCCATCAGCACCCTTACCACATGTTTCATCTTCGCCTGTGTTCAAGGACAAGAAACAGAAGAGAAGAGAACTAAGTCCACGAAAACAAGGGGAACAAAGAATGTTTTAATGGTAAGCATATGAGCTAAGTACATAAGGGAACTATGTCTTCAGAAATTTCACTTCTTAAAACAAACTTTTTATATCAAAAAGTTGTTTTTTTTTTAATTACAACAGTGTACTTCAGAAATTTGATACCAAAACAATGTGTGCAGGATATTACGATAAGATCATAAACCACGAGTTTATATACCAGATTCTGATAAATTGCACTGACCTTGAGAGTGAACAATTGAGTGGGTTGTGGATGATGATCCCTGGTCTGTTTGTAGTTTAAGTCCTAAATGCTTTGCGTCATGATAACCTTGTGGCGGAAATACCACTTTGAAGCTCACATCCTTGGATAAAGACTCTGAAATTTGTCGTTCACTTGGAATCCACGACATGGAATTAGTATAAAGGGGCATTGCCTGGACGGAAGTTTGATTGAAAATGTTCTTGTTCAAGTTTTGAGTTGGTATAGATGATTCTATCGTCGTGTCCTGAGTTTTATGCAAAATAAAAAAGATCCTTAATAAGTACTACCTTGTATTAAGGACACTTACAAATTATCTACTCAATCCCATGAACATGAATGAATATCACAAACAAACCAACATAAGAAAACTCACCGATAAATTGGAACTGTCCAACAGATTATTCTATCCGAATAACTTATCCAACAAAAGCCACAGCATTTCTCCTACTTCGAATCAGATTTCCATCAGCAAACGAAGCATTTACAGCTAACAAGTTGGTAGTCCTGTTTCTACCTTTTAAATGTATCAGACTCCGCATGCTAAGAACACCAAGAAGTGGTTTTTCCAAGTTTGTACAGATTGCATTTAATATCTCAATTACCATGTAAGTAAAAAACAAGGTTTAGAAAACCTGATCTAAAATGTCAGTAAATATTACAGAGAAGTTTACAAGCAGTACCAGCATGCAACAAATTAGACCAATAAAAACAGATAAATGAAAAGACTTGAGATTTCCAGACCAACTCCAATCATACCAAAAAATAAAAAATTACAAAATATATTACTCTCCCCATTACTCATTCAATCCCACCAGAACAAAGCATTGTCCAGAAAACCCAATAATAAAAGAGGAAATAAGTAAAATTTAAATAAAAACAAATAAAATGCAGAAAAATGTACAAAAATAGAAATAAAAACATACCCAAAACAGGTATGAAACAAGAAACTGATGAAGGAGACAACTTTACTACTTTCCCATCTTCAGAAACACCTGAAAACAAAACCAAATGATCTCAAAATCTACATGCAATCAGTAAATAGCAAACAGAAAGCAACCCACTTGGATTCTACACCAATAAATAAATAAAAATCTTCATAAAATGAATTAGCAGAAAAATAAAACCCATAAATGGAAAAAGAAAATGAAATGGCAAGAGAGAGAAAATGAAGCAATAGGAGTGGGAGAGAACGAGAGAGAGAGAGAGAGAGAGAGAGAGAGAGACCTTTGGTATCTGGTAAGGGATGAATGAGCAAAGAATATAAGTGTTGGGAAGACCTTGGACATGTCTCCTCTCCTCCAACTGTCTAAATAAAACACTATCTCTCCCCTCCCCTCCTCACCTCTTCTTCCTCCTCAAAGACTCACTCTTTCTCTCTATCCTCACTCTATATTTTCCTTCCTTTCTCTCGGGCTTTTGCTGCTGTGACAACACAACACACACAAAAACGTGATCCTAAATTCCTGATTAAAAGCACTTGCCACACACACCTCTCTCTCTCTCTCTCTCTCTCTCTCTCTCTCTCTCTCTCTACTTTTCTTGTATTTTTGAAGCTTTCGTCCTTTTCGTCTTCTCCATTGGTGGTGGGCCCATTCGCACCCTCAACGTTTGGCTGCATACACCTTCCCTATCACAGCCGCCCCTCACTGTTTTTCCTCACTTGTTTTCCACGAGAAGATTTTTATTACGAGGGAACATGAGTGGTACACCACGTATTTTTATATAACTGGTGAGCAAAAATACTTTCGTATTTTTTAAGTTATTAACTTTTTAAACACATATTTCACCATTGGTATAGTGACACGTAATGTACTATCTCTTGTTCCAGTTATACTAAAAAATCTTTCGTTTCTCACGCTCACATTTCCCACTCTCCGCCACAAATGCGCGCATTATTTTATGTTACACTTGTATCCAGTAGCATAACCAGTATTTTCAAATAATGAAGTTATAATATCAACTAAAAAGGTTTATCGGGCTATTTCGTCGAGAACCTAATAGATACCTTCTAATTCTTGTCAACATATGTTGAAAGTTTATGTCGACATTTATTGAGGCTTATTGAGAGTGAATGCAGGATATTGTGGAGAGTAATGTTGAAAACTGCCAAGGCTTTTCAACTAAAATATTTCATACATGAAGAGAGAAAAAAAGACAAATATGATAGAAGAAAATAAAAGAAGTAGGAGAAAGAAGTTGTAATTTAATTTGTCTTAAATGTTTTTAGAAATAAAAAACGATATACAAACAAATATATAGGACTTTTGAAGTTGCTAGGATCAAGGACAACCAAGATCCTATGCTGGCTATGCCGCTGCTTCTATCTGACTGGAAAATGTTTCCCATGCACCGCCGCGGCGAGTAAGCTTCCCTGCGTGAACATTCTACAGAAGAAATTATTTCTTGTTTGTTTTTCAAATTTGAAAATATAAAAATATTTAAGTATATTTAGATAATAAATAATAAGGAAAACTAAAGGAAATGGTTTGAAAACTTTAAGTTTTAATAATAAAGATTAAGTAAAAGGTAAAATAAATAGTACAAGGATTGACTTTTTAATGTAAAAATATGATTTTTTGTTAAAATAAATAGTACCGAAAGTTTTTCATTAAAATTCTCTATATAATATATGACCCATTGGATAATTACCAAGGAAAAGACACGTCAACCTAAGACGTGATTAGGATGAGGTTTAATATTTTTTACCCAAGACACGTCATTCAGCCACTTAACTCTATAACAACCACAGTAAAAGCATCATACTTTTCTTCAAATGAAAGGAAAACATAAAAGATCAATCAATGTTACTAATTAATGTGGTTTGGTGATATTTTTTTTTATTTAGAAGTAAGAAATTTTAAAATTAAATTTTATGGATGACGAATTCGATATCAAATAAGAATGCTCATTGTGTAGTTTAGCTAAATTTCCTCTTCTTCTAATGTAAAAATATCAATGTATTAAAAAAATAAAAATAAAAGATCAATTAAATATTGTTTAATTGTTATATTCAAGATGAGGATAAGATGGGAAAAGCTGGTGTTGGAGTTAAGATGTGATAGCTTTGTTTTTGTTTTTTACCTTGACTTCGACCTGCTTTTTTAATATCCAATGCAGTGGAAAGAGATAACACCAACGACAAAACTCAAACAGAAGCGCAATGATTCTGGCTAAACTTAATCACGTCCAAAAGTCAAATAACTTGACGACTATAATCATCAGAGTGCAATGTGACGTGCACCGATGACCGATGACCAATGACCAATGACGGCCAAAATCATAGCGATAAGTTCTGTACGATTATATGAGATGACATTTTGTGCAGTATTAAACGGACTAGGATTCTCTCTTCTTCCCTTTCCATCCATTCCTTTTATATTTTCTTATTTTGTCTTTTTTTTATTATAAATATAAGATGTTGATGTAATTTAACAATGACAGTTCAAATAGAAAGGAAATGGGAGAGAATCCTACTCCGCATTGGATTCCTTAAGTTAGTACAGTCATCATCAGACTGCAACATAAAAATGTCACGATGCCAACTCTCTTGTACTGCGCCTATCCTCCAACTAGAGTCTTGAAAGTTATAAAAACCCGGTTTCTTGTCCGAAGTTTCGAGCATGAGCGCAACATCATTGTTGCAAAGAGCACGAAAACATTACTTTTATTAAGCGTTTCGATGAGTAGGAATTTCTCATTATTGCTCCATATCTTTTTGTTGTAGTCTTGAATTGTCCGTAGTTTCGTAAACTCCTCGTCCTTCTTGCAAATCAAGGCAAGTCGTTCTCCTTGTATTACTTATAAAGCACAGTGATCACTTTCATAAATGATTCTATGTACTGTCTATGAACGCTCTTATATAGTTTACGTTATATTTAATATAATTAAATACCGTGAAAACTTATTTTTGACCTAAATCTTGCGTAACAAGGTAGAGGAAATGTCCTCATGAATTTTTGGTTGCACGGTTGCTGATTGTGGCTGGAAATGCTTCTACTGGACTTTCTGTAAGGCACCGGAGGAACCGTGGGATTGTTGGTTTTCCATTACCCATAACTCCATCAACTCTTTGTCTTCTTTGCGAACCAACACCAGACGAACTTGGTAAGCGGCCGGATTGTACTTCCAATACTTATCATTGCGCATTGGATGCGGTAGGGCGAAGGTTTTCCAAGTGTCTTTGTCTTGGTAGAAAACCAGTATTTGATTGTTGGTGGGATGCCAGTAAAGCGCGCCGCACGCTGAAACCGGTAACTTGGTGTCCAAGAAAACCCTCGTAAGGTAAAATCACATCGTTCAACTGATTCCAATACCAAGTGTTTGAATCAATAACCTCACATCTAAGGTGGTATTGATATGAGGGGTTGGTCTTGGGCTTCGATAACCGAATAATATTAACGCTTTTTATCCAAAATGGTTTTTGAGATTTACATAACTTTTCACATTGGTCCCTGAGATTTGAAATCGATGGAGTCCACGGTCAATTATTTTAGTCATTTTATGAAAAGTCTTCGTTAAATAAGGAGAAAATGACAAAAGTACCCTAATGTAACGACCCGTCCCTAAAAATTATGATTTTTATAAATTTTAAATATGAATTTACGGAAATGCCCTTCGAGGCAAAGATGTTGATTTTTATGGACCGTCTTGTCATGTCATGTAAGGTTCGTTTTCTTGGCGTATCCTTGTAGTACTCATCACTACGGACTCATGGGCGTAAACGGAGTGCAATTTGGAGTTATAACGAATGAAATATTAACGTTTAAAGTTGAGGGTATTTTAGTAAATTGATTAAGTTCAAGAAAGCTCCAGATTTTTGGAGCTTAATCTGGAAAGCCACGTGGATGGCCCAGATTTGAAGAAAGCAGAAATGGACGGTTGGGAGAGAAGATAAAGGAGAGAAAGGAAGGGGATGAGACTAATCAGAAAAGGAAAGAGGAATGAGTGACCAACCAGAGAAAGAGAAAGGAGGGAAATGAGGGAGGAGAAGAAGGAGGGGAACCGAACCGGTTCTCCCTTGACCCGACAACCCTGCTCAACCCGGTGGTGATTCCGGCGAATTGACCGTCGCCACAACCTAGGATCAACCCCACAACATCCCTTCTTCACATTCCACCCAAAAATTGAAGGAATTGGGCTATAAATTATGAAGTTCGAAGCCGTCGGCTTTGACAGCAACCCGTGAGTCTTTAGGCGGCGATCCGCCATTCCTGAATGCAATCTCATCGATCCCCACCATCAAACAACTCCCCTTAAGCCGAAGAACAAAGCCCAAGCCTTGGTTGGAGCATTGGTGTGAGTTTGGAGGTCGAATCAAAATACACCCAAACCTAGGGTTCCAGCGGGTTTTCATGAAATTGAGGCTTTTCCAGGCTAAATTGGCCTTAGTCACAGGTATGAAAGTTGTTCCACATAGTGAGATTTTCATTTCTGTGAAGTTTGAGATTTTTTAGAAGTAGTTGAATTTTCTAGTGAGTCGGGACGGCGACGTGTGGCCAATGGGCCGCATATGCTATTTTACGCTAAATCGATATATTGATCTCAAATTTGATATCCATATGATGTGATTTGATTATTGTGAATCTAGTTTGATTAAGGTGTGTTACTTGATAATTATATGAATCGACGATCCGACCGTTGGATCGTCACCAAAATTCAATAGTTATAGTACGTAATATTTAAGGATATTAGGAACTTACAGATTGGGAATCCGACGTATGTATCTTTCCGAATTAGACTTGTAAGTTTGTAAAATAAAACGTTGACCGCCACTTGAATTTGCAATTGGTGGAGATCCAACCGTTGGATCGTAATGAAATTTTAGTATGATGTTTTAGAAGCATAATGTGTATATTTGGAAGTTACGGATTGGAAATCCAAGGTGCGGATCTTCCAAATCGAGTTACGTAGGGTTGTAGACCCTACCGTCGATCTTTAACCAACGGTTGACTTTTGGTCAATGGGTCTCGAATCATTAACGTCCTTGGGGATGTTTTTTATGTGAGTTACATGTTCTATTGATAAGGATTCTAAGATGTGGTCTGATAATTATTCTAGGTGCCGATCGTTCGTGATGCCTCGATGTTTGTGCTAGGGAGTTGTAGCACAAACTCCAGGTGAATGGGCTTTTGGTTTTCTATGTATACATATATATGTTTTACATTTTCCCAGAAACTGTTTTAATATGCATATATTTTTAAGTGTCATGTCATACTTGCATCTTATTTTAGTATATGCATTAGTATTGTTGATGCACAAAACCGGAGGGGTTTTGGAACAACGTAAATCCGACCGTGAATCTGCAAGAAAGTAAAGAACACAAGATGTATCGTGGTTCACCCCAATGTTTGGGCTATGTCCACATTGATATTGTATTTCTCTGAGAGGATTGTGAGGGAGAGAGCTTTTCTCTGAATATGAGAGGCTTTGAGAGGGTGATGGGTCAGACCTAAGAATTGGCCTTTCTTAATAAGGAGAGTGAATAGTCCT